TCTTGGGGAAGTAGGGGGCGACTAGCATGTGCCTCTCTTTAGTGGACCGATGTGAGATTGCCCATTGTATTAACTGGACGGGTAGGCCTATTCACCTTCAGTTATGTGTCAATGTCAAATAAGCGGCTTCGTATCAACACGGTCGGCTCTGGGCCGGTTTAATTCTACGTATCTCTCGTAGCTGAGAGAAAAAAGATTTTTTAGCCCAGAGAATATCTTCCGTCAGAGTGGTTGTTGATTCATAGATTCTAATAACCCCTTTTGAAGTTTATATGAAAGCTTTGATATCTGCTATGCAGATCTAGTTATTATTTTTTTTTTATTGGGGGAAGCTAGATCTCAGCAACTATAAGTGATAGAGGTTTGAAATTTGATTTTCTGTCGGAAAAGTGGTGTGCAGCTACTGCTTAAAGCTATTTCGAAATTTGTGCGCATAGCGGAAATGCGTCAAATCTTTAACGTGCACGAAAATTGAAAATCGGCAATTATTCTCTTAATTCTCAATGGATTCTTCAGATATTTACATTTTGGGATAGCTGGGGACATTTCTGAGCGGATATCAGTTCTAAACTGTGAAAATTAGAAACTTTGTCGCTCTCATTTTTTTTGTGAAAATTGGAAAATTTTCAAAATTTTCTACAATTTTTATTTTTGGGAATTTTGAAATTTCAGTTATATTTTTGGATAGCTGACATCAATCCGATTCCAACAATATCAGTTTTGTTCTGAAATGTTGACTTTGATTTTTCACTTTTTTTCGCATTTTGGTCAAATCGTAGAGTTCTTATTTTTTTAAAACAGCTCCAACGATTTTTCTGAAACTTCAGGAATATGAAGTCGAAGGACCAAACCAGTCCATGAACTATAAATGAAAATCCTCTAATCACCGGAAGTAGTCAAGAAAGGTATCCAAACTTTGAAAAAATTGTGAAAAATGGGTGCCTGTGCGGAAAATGCGATGTATCAATTGTGTTCTTGACGTTTAGTTAAAGTTTTATATCGTTTAATAGCCAATTGAATTGTCTATCAGATGGTACTTCAGCGACAAGTTTCTATCAAAAACTAAAAAAGTTATGTGACTTTGAAAAGTAAGGTATTTTGCGATTTCGAGCAACTTTAGACGCATGTTTCTCGGAAACGCCCCCAACGATTTTTTTAAAACTTTCTCAATCGAGAGATAAATGGGTACTCTGTTGTGTGAAACCACTGTATCATTTTTTGAAATGTCAGGGGTAGCCGAAAAAAGAGATCGAAAATCGAAAACGTCGTATTTTTACGATTTGGGGCATTTTTAGAGGTCTATTTCTCGAAAAGTCAACATAATATTTTTTGGGAACTTCTTCTACAGAGAGGCCTATCAGTAGTGTTATATATAAAACCATTGTACAACAGTTCCAAATTTCAGGAGTAGCAGAACAAAGGGATCGAAAATTGAACACGGCACCTTTCATTGTTAAGCGAGACATAAAGAGGGGATACAATCTGTACGTTTTGTCAACGTATAGAGCCAATTCAAGAGTGCTTTTATCAGTGATGATATTTGAACTAAAATTATTTCAACTATGAGTGTTTTTTTCTCTCCAAAATATGGGTTTAGTGACCCTGTAACAGAAATAGTTGATAGCTGTGTGTAATAATTAGTCTTTGAATTAATATTGTTGCTTCTTTGTCAAAATTATCTTATACCGGTAATCATCTGGACAGAAATCGACGGCTCGCGCTGTTTATAAGAAAGTCCAATTTGTTACTCGGTTGCAGTAGCATCGAATAGTGCACCTGTGATAAAAGGCGTGACGCTGTTTGACCATGGACTCTATCTGTTATTAATATTAATATTTTATTAGTGACGTCAAATCTTTGACGTGCACGAAACCAGAAAATTGGCGATATTTCATTGAATATTCAATCACTTTTTGAACCAGTTACATATTTGAGTAGCTGACATGAACGCGATTCCGAAGTCCCGTGTACACATTGGTGTGACTGGAAAAGGAAACCTTGGCAGTTGGAATTGTATATATGAGTAGACTAGCGCCGATGTACGGGCGATGGTCCATTCCGAACAGAACAGTTAGACGTTAACCCTCATTTTATTTGACTTTCATATTAATATCTATTGCGATTTCAGTTTGGTGTGGACCAGTTCTTTTTCCCATTTCGCGTAGATCTCAGAAACTGTAAGAAGTGAGAGAGAGAGAGAGTCAGAGAGAGAGAGAAAGAGAGGGAGAGAGGGGGGGTTAACGTCCACTGGACAGAAACTAGGTCATTTCGGGACTAACATATGGTTTAATTTTATTTCAATAATTCTCTCGCGCGTAGGCGTATTTAGACTTTAGCAATGGAAGGAAACCGGAGGACCCTGAGAAACCCCACGAAATTGGACAGGCGACCCTACTCCTTGTCACGTATAATCGGGGATTCGAAACCACGCCAGTTGACTCAATGACAGGCCTTATGTATGATACAGCGTGCGCATGCTAACCATTCGGCCATGCAACCTCCCTGGTGGTCTGGTGTTAGATCCCTGCGTGGGCCGAGGTAGTTCATCCTTGTCAGTGGTGCAGAACATAGGGACTGGCATGCGACAATGTATAGTCATTTGGATGGGACGAAAAATCGACATCCCGTGAACACATTGCCGTAAAGGTAAAAAATCTATAGGCAATTGGAATCCATACAGCTTACTGTATGGCGTATGATCGTGTTCATTACCTCAGATTTCCCATTATCAGGAACGATTAATGCCCCATTGCCAACAATAAATACTAATATTATTTAAGATCAAGTGCCACGTTTAACGTGTCTGGGCTATAGCTGTTGTTGCAAGTCGAATAGTAATGCTGGCGCTGGTCCACCATATTTACGCATGGACTACACAGTGGATACAAATAGGAACCTTAGACAACTCATGCCCTATTCAATGAAGCTAATATTCTATAATTCTTAATGTGCTTGAAGCAAATTACTTGTCCCCATTTAATTAGTTTCTTGGTGTCATTATTAAAGAACAAATCGAATTAAATGTGTTAATTTTATTGCATAATTACATAATATCATGATGGCTGAATTTCGGGTTACAATTGATAACAATATATATCTTTAAACCAATAAAAGATTATAAACATAATCTTAGATTCTTATAAATCAAAGATAAATAATAATATTGGTAAGAGCTTAATAAATTCGGGAATATCTCTTATTACGACAGATCATGAATTGTCGTTAATTACGAACTTGATGATAATTGACAAGATTTATTAAAAAGTAATTGAAGCCATTGTTAACTCGGATAATTGACAAACTTTTGAGATAACATCTAGGCATTGTATTAAAATATTGCTATAATTCTTGTAGACTATTTTGATAATCAAATATAAATCATTTCAAGATACATGCATCTCAAAAAAGGACAATTAAATATAGGCCATTGTCAACTAAGATTACACCAGTAGCTGACAACTTATTAAAGCAAAGCATATTAAAGCTAAGCATATTGATAACTATATGAAATGAAATTGGGTTTAACGTCCTACTGTTCTGCTCCTAAACTGGGCTAATGAAGACGGCATACGTCATACAGTGTGCTATGAGGGAGATTTTGCCCGGGCAGCGGCGCTAGGGCCTACTCTTATATCGAATTCCAACTGTCAAGGGATCTTTTACGTGCACGTCAATGTGTACACGGGACCTCGGTTTTTCGTCCCATCCGAACGACTAGACAGCTGTCCTTGTCAGGCCCTCCGTCCTGCATCACTGACAAGGGGAAACCACACCGGAAAATGTGGATGAACTTTCTCAGTCAATGCAGGGTTCGAACACACCGACATCCAGGCTAGCGAGCCAGCTTCTTACCCAATTAGCCACGTGATCCCCCTTGATAACTATAAGTACACCAGTTATTTAAAGATACATTATGGAAAATTAGATTATGAGTTGGCACTTCTAACTATAATAGTTAAAACTAGATAATGTAAATGGGACATGCTGAAAATTTAAATTGCTTTATTCTGAACCGTGATATAAGCAGTTGAATTTTTAGACCTAGTCTCGATCATCATTACTTAAGTCGATACGATAAAAAACATAGTCTTGGTTATCCATTTTGGATTTAATCATGAATGACTCTGGAGCAGCAGAACGGATTTAAATCCAATGAAAAACCGACACATAAGATGACATCGAGAGTTGATCAAGGTCTTTTATGTTAATAAATGTCTAATTTATAGTTCATATACCACTTCAGGCATAAGGATAGACCGGGAATAGATATGTTTAACAAAAATATTTAAACATATTTGATATAATAAATATATATTTGAATAACATTTATACTTATATTAAATAATACAATTAAACTTAGATTAAACATACATTATGCAAGAGCAAAATCGGCCTATTGCAGGTCTTTCTTTAGGCCTGAAATGTTATAAAAACTATTAATTAGACATTAATTAACTTATCCAGACCATAATCAGCTCTCGATGTCAAGGCTTGCCTGCGATATTTGTTGGATTGCAGTCCGATTTGCTGCAAAACTTTCCTTCGTGATTAATGATTAAATGGATAATCAAGACTATTAGTTTTGTCTTATCGACTACAGTAATGATGATCGAGGCTAAGCGGAACTTTCATCCGCTGGGTTCTCGGCTCATAGTGGATCAATTTGACTGAAATTTTCAAATTTAACAAAATATTTGACAAAAAAAACTTATATTTTAATAAAAAATGTACACTTATATCAATACATACAACAATTAAATATTTCAAATACATGGAACATTATTAATGGTATTTTTTGTATGTTATATAACCATCAATGGTCAAAACAAGTGAATATCACTGAATATCTCCATTATTGAAATGAAATGAAGTGGAATGGAGTTTCAAGTCCTAATATCTTCATTATTCAATTTTCTAACTGAGGTTCTAAATATAATGGCATCTTATTGATTGATTCTTCAATTCGAGGATCACAATATATTACCTTCTCATCAAAATCTCTAATAATTAAACCCTCTAAAGATGTGACCTGGTGAAAATATTTTCTTTAGTGATACAACTGCAGAATTGAGACTCAAACCTTGTACTTTATGCACCGTTGTACTATAGCTAAGTTTAAGTGGAAATTGTCTCCTGATGTCGCCACGATAATTGACTTTTTCTTCTTGTATCTCAATAGGAGTACAACCTTCTGGTATATCATCATTTGATCTTTTATTTTCTCTACGTAAAATAGTCCCAACTCTTTCGTCATCAAACTTAACGTATATTATTTTAGGTTTATCATTATCCATTGAGATATAAGTTACTTTACCAAAACAACCATTAGTAAGACCATCACTAACATTCAAATTCTTAATTAACATAACTCTTGCATCAATACCAATTACTAATACGTTAGGTAAACTAGAATCTACATTACAAGTCAGATATTTCTCCAATTTCTTCATTTTACCTGTTCTAGCATCTTTTGAATAATCGTTTGCAGCAATGGTTATGGTATCTGGACATTTACTGTGTAAGAATTTTAAATTAATTTCATTTACCTGCTTATTTATAGAAACTATATGCACTGCATCAGACTCTTCACCTGTAACCCTACTACTGAACAAATTAACATCATCTACGGACATTTCATCAGAATTCTTTTTTGTGCGTATTCTATTTAGTGCTTGCGCAAATGTCAAATCATCCCTCTGTCTCATTATTTCCGTCAGTTGAACAAGTTTAAAATTATCTTGCCACAGATTAACCATTTCATTATCATTGTACAGAGCTCTGCCTTTCACAGGAGGTAACTGGTAAAAATCTCCAACTGCAATAATAGAAACATTACCAAATGGTACATGATCAGGTGTTTGTTTGATTTGTCTTAATCTACCGTGTATGTAACATAATAGTTTATGATCAACCATGGATATTTCATCAATTATCAGAATTTCTAGATTACCTAATTTAGATCTAAGTGTGTTAACTTTATCTGAGGACAATCCTATGTAAAGCAACTTAAAATGAATGGGTATACTAAAGAGAGAATGGATGGTACATGTACTTGATGAGATGTTAAACGCCGATACGCCAGTTGGGCAGGTAACTGCAACTGTTGTGTCATCGGGACTGTCACTAATTCTGGCTAATAATCTTGATGCTTCATAATACATACATTTGATGATATGACTCTTTCCACCATCGGCACCACCTGTTAAAAATAGCATGAATTGTTCTGGGTTTTTGTTATGAATTTTATCTAGACAGAATTGTCTTACTTTGTAAAATACTTGTGATTGTAAGTTATTTAATGATCTTAATAAAGGTATAGCTTGTGAATGGGAGATAACTGTGTCAGATTTTTCTTTATGCCTATCTTTCTTGGCTGATTTTCTATTGCCTAACAAATCTGGTATCTCGACTGGGTCGTCATCTTCATTAATTGTATCATTACCTTGTAATTCTATACATTCTAAACGATCAACTTCTGTTTCGACACAAATATTTGCCCATGCATCGTCTAAAGGTCCACATTTCTCAAAGATTTCTTGTGCCATTTCAATATTAACTGCATCTTTCTCATATTGTTCACGGTTGTTATTAACAATTTCGCTCACCAGTTCAACATCATTATAATATCTCACAGATCCAAATTTATAGAAATCTTCGTACGTTTCAAAAGGAGGGGGCTTAAGCTGTTCGGTTTGTCGATAAGGCAGAAAAAGTTGTAGACTACTGAGATAAAAAAGCTCTGGATTTTTTGTAATTGAAAATCTAGCGTAACGTATTACAGCAGGACTAGTTCTTGTACGTTTTATGATATAACCAAGGTCACCTTTAAGTTTATATGCAGGGTTATTTTCACGATCAACATCAATTTTCTCGCTCTTAGCCATGACTCTATATTCAGAACAGAACTGAGCTATACACATATAATCGAATTGAATGACATCTGGTCGTGCCCTATATCTATCAACAATGCTAGTTTGATACATGTTATTATCCGTTAGCGTTCCTTCATTTGCTCGACTTTTAAGAATAGATAAAGGTAGTGTCAGTCGGATATTATTCTCACCTGTCGGTATAAATACTACTTTTCTGGATGTTTCTTTAAGACGTAGATTACACACACGATATGCTGCCTCTTGTGCCGAAACCTCTCTACTATGTAAATATGTACTTGAAATCTTTTTTAGACTACTTTTAGCATCCAAATTACCTTCAACAGCTTCTTTGTGAGCATCGCCTAGTAATAAACCAATTTCTCTTTCAGACTTTGATATATATGACACAATGTATACAATACAACTGTAGGCATCAAATACATATTGTATGTCCAAATTAGCGTTCCATGCTCTTAGTAAGTCAGGATTATACTGATTTATCCATACGTCTTTAGGGTCTCTTTTAAGAACTAGATTGTTTTTCTTTGTTAGCTTTTCGCATGCTTTTACAAATAACTCTTGAGTGATATCAAGATCACTATATAAATCGTCAATAGAATCGTAATTCTTATCAGGGTCTGAGATGGTCTTCATTATGCATTCTAGGATTGTCTTAGCCTAATCATTGCTAATTACGTCCTTTCTGGATTCCTGATTATCACTTTTGTCCATGTCTACAGTTCTACAAACAAAGGTTTCTTCAGAGGGTGGTCTAGGGAAATTAAATCGACATACCATATTTTTCTTTTTACAAGATTTTGAATGCTTTTTACTGTGCATTTGAACACTGGATACAATTTCGTGTAGTTCTGGATCATCTGAAATGTTTGGCACTTTACATGTTATGTATTTATTTACAAATTCAATAACTTTACTGTCAGGGTCTCTACCAAGTACGGGTGCATCTTCTATCCATAATAACATGTGTACGTGACAACTTCCGCGCATTTGATATTCGATGCGATAGAAATAATCTTTTACTTTACCAATAGGCTCAGCTTTGACATTATAAAATTCTTTAAGAAATAATGAAACCTGTGATCGAACATTCTAGCTATAGTTATCGGATTGCTTCTAAGTATTTCCTGTTTTTCGACCCAATTCAAATCACTTGCTTTTCTATTATCACCTTGTTGTCTAAGAATTACCTCAATAAAGGACGTCCATCTGAGCTCGGCGGAACTATAAGAACAACAAAATGTACAGAATCCGAGTTGTCTAATCATAGCAAACAGATCTGATTGTGTAGTCTTCCAATAGCTGGGTGAACCTCGTACTGATTTCAAAAATCGATAGCCATCATCGCATTTTAAAATATTTTTCAAAGGTTCTTCATTTGTAAGCATGTCAGCTGTTATTCTATTACCACCTGATTTTGTTTTGCGTAAAGCGATAGAGACACTTGAGACAACTTGACTGAGTTCATATAAATACTGAGCATAAAAGATGTAATCTGTATTTTTAGCAAATCGGTTATCAACGTTCATTAGACGACAGTGTAAATAACGACCTAAAGTGATTCGTTCATCTCGATTATCAGCAAATGTATTTTGTCCAGTTGGAAATAGGGTCGGAAAACACATAGCTTCATTCGTTTTGTCTGTTAAAATCTTTACAGGATTTTTATTTTCTGTCGGAGAAATAGAAAATATACTATCAGTGTTGTCTAAAATCTCTTGTGCAAGATCAACGGGTTGCAAACACGTACTTAACAATGGTCCATGTAACTCATCAAGTGGCATGTCTATGTCTGGTAAGCTATCAGTGTCATCTTCTCTTGTCTTAGAATTACTTAAAGCAGCAGGTGTCAACAGTGCATGTAACTCATCAAGTGGCACATATATGTCTGGTAAACTATCAGTTTCATTTTCTATTGTTTCAGAGTTGTTTAGAGTGTCAGGTTTCAACTGTTCCAAATTGGAGTTATCTCCCTTACCTTGTGTTTCTGTTTCAAAATTCCAGTTTTTGTCAAATTCAACCTCTGTATAATATTGGTTATTTTCCTTCAAAAAAAGTAAAGCATCTCTTAATTTCGATTTGTTAACAAATTCATATTGATAATAGCTTTTATGTGTAATTCTTTTTTTTAATTTCAGTCTAATGAGCTGGTCAGAACCTTCAGATCTGGGTAAAACCTTGGTCACTTCATTAATATTGTTAGGAATACAGACAGTTTCTCCACTAACTTTAAATTGTTGTGTCTTTGCCAAGTTTAACATTTTCATGAAAGGTATATTTAGAGCTATTAAATGTGCCTCGAGACTATTTAAACATTCGAGCTGTTGTGGTATATGGCCAGGTTCTAAATTGTTTGTAACACTTTCTGCGGGTATTTTACCAGATTTGATTTTAGAATCGCAAGTAAAACAAATCCATAACGATTTATAACCTTCGGGATAGTCACAGTTATCTATACAATCAATAGAACATTCGTGTAAATATGTTTTAGTGATACACTTGGTTGCTACATTCTTGACTTTATCATCTTTATTATATAATTTCTCATTGCAAGAATTTAATGTCCACTTCCACGTCTAGGGTGATATCTACTACTACCTAGTGTTTTGACGTCCGCTTCCACAGAAAGGGTTATATCGTTCGTTCGTTCGTTCCTGGGGTTTAATGTCCACTTCCACGTCTAGGGTGATATCTACTACTACCTAGTGTTTTGACGTCCGCTTCCACAGAAAGGGTTATATTGTTCGTTCGTTCGTTCCTGGGGTTTAATGTCCACTTCCACGTCTAGGGTGATATCTACTACTACCTGGTGTTTTGACGTCCGCTTCCACAGAAAGGGTTATATCGTTCGTTCGTTCGTTCCTGGGGTTTAATGTCCACTTCCACGTCTAGGGTGATATCTACTACTACCTAGTGTTTTGACGTCCGCTTCCACAGAAAGGGTTATATCGTTCGTTCGTTCGTTCCTGGGATTTAACGTCCACTTCCACCTAGGGTGATATCGTAGACAAAAGGGGTGATATCGTATACGAGCAAGTGCTTAAATTGTCCCCCGCGACGTCAGGAGGTACACGTTGACGCCCAATTTGACGGTTGAGTTGTTCGATCTAATCGGAATAAAAACCATTTGTCACCCAAGCCTTACGATTGGCCGACCAATTGATTGACAGTTCAAACATCGCACATTCTCCGCTTTATCCTTTATAAGATTTTCCCGATTCTGCTTTAAATCATGACATAGTTTCATAAATTTTATATGACATATTTCGAGGGGGAGGGGTACATTTTCGCATCTTCGGTATTTATTTATTAATGATCTACCTTTACAATTACATGTTAATAGTGATTTATTTGCTGATGATACTACTGTCTATTCCTCATCTTCTGATGTTACTTCATTAATTACCACACTGAAAAATGAAACTTCTATTATTCAAAATTGGTGTTCCACAAATGACATGGTAATTAATGAAACCAAAACTAAAACAATGAGTATTACACCTTCTTCAAGGCGTAAATTACTTTCAACAAAATTTCAAATTCAGATAAATAATTCACCTTTAGAAAATGTCTCTACATTTAAACTTTTAGGCATCATTTTTGATGAAAATTTCAATTGGTCTCCTCATGTTGATCATTTATCTAAGCTTCTTCGACAGAAAAATTTTCAATTACGCAAATTAAAACAGTTGCTTCCTACTGAAGTACTTAAATTATTCTATTTTGCTCATATTCAATCTCACATCAATTATTGCTCCACTATTTGGGACTCTTGTTCAATTACATCTATATCTAAACTTGAGAGACTTCAAAAATTATCCTTTAAATTAATTTACAATAGACCGATCTCTGATCATTCCTTCTCATCTAATTATCAATTTTTATCTTCATCCTTAAATCTTCAAACTATTTATCAAAGACTTTTAATTAACAAATATATTTTTGTTTATAAAATTATCCATAAACTTTGTCCATCATATTTATATAATATTTTTCACTATAACACCACTCCATATTCATCTCTCAATAATAGACTTTCTATCTGTAGACCTAATAATGAAATATTCAAATGTAGTTTACAATATAGAGGCAAAGTGCTTTGGAATTCTCTCCCATATTCACTTAAAAATATTAAAAATCTTCATTTATTTAAGAAAAATATCACTACTTAACTGTAGCCTATATTTAATATAGGCCCCTATCAACTACTTACTACATATTATCTATCATATTACTTTTAGTTTTTAAGTTAAACTATTTAGCTTATCAGTATATATTTGAATGTTTTGTGTGTGAGTATTTGTTAAGTATCGTGTTCTGTTACTGTCTTTTTCATTTCTTTGTTATAAAGGGCAAAATTGTAAACAGGCTTTAAGCCTAATTTTTCACCTTTGAAAATAAAGATATTATTATTATCATTATTATAACGCCGTACGTGAGTCTAGCAAGTGCTTATATTGTCCTCGTCGTCGTCAGGAAGTAGACGTTGACGCCTCATTTGACGTTTGAGTTCTCCGGACCAATCAGAATAAAACCACTTGTCATCAAAGCCTTACGATTGGCCGACACATTGATTGGCAGGTTGTTCTTGTCCACGCCTTTAAAGCCTTACGATTGGCCGACACATTGATTGGCAGGTTGTTCTTGTCCACGCCTTTAAAACATCGAAGATTCTCCGCTTTACCCATTATAAAATTTATTTTAGAATAACTGTGCCAACTTTTACTAATAATATTTAGAACGCTTATTCCATTACCTTTCAGGATATATATAGCTGGATTATCAGAATTTTGTACGATGATTCGAATTCGGACTTCGAAAAAAATACCGGTCTATCTTTACATTTAGAATATTGAAAAATTGGCTATGTACAGGTTGAGAGCGCGCCCCTTTAATATGATTGTACCAACTTTTACTAATAATATTTGGAAAGCTTATTCAATTACCTTTCAGAATATATATAGCTGAATGCTCAGAATTTTGTACGATGGTCCGAATTTGGACTCGGAATATTACCGACGTTTAGGATGAGAGCGCACCCCTTTAATATTATTGTGCCAAGTTTTACTAATAATATTTAGAAAGCTTATTTCATTACCTTTCAGAATATATATAGGTGGATGATCAGAATTTTGTACGATGATCTGAGTTCGGACATCGAAAAAAATACCGGTCTATCTTTACGTTTAGAATATTGAAAAATTGACTATGTACAGGTTGAGAGCGCGCCCCTTTAATATGATTGTGCCAACTTTTACTAATAATATTTGGAAAGCTTATTCAATTACCTTTCAGAATATATATAGTTGGATGTTCAGAATTTTGTACGATGGTCCGAATTTTGACTTGGAATATTACGGTTCTTTCACTTTAAAATATTGAAAAATTGGCGACGTTTAGGATGCGAGCGCACCCCTTTAATATGATTTTGCCAACTTTTACTAATAATATTTAGAAAGCTTATTCAATTACCTTTCAGAATATATATAGCTGGATGCTCAGAATTTTGTACTATGGTCCGAATTTTAAAAAAATTTTCATGTTTAGGATGAGAGTGCACCCTTTTAATATGACTGTGCCAACTTTAACTAATAATATTTGGAACGCTTATTTAATTCCCTTTCGGAATATATTTAGTTGAATGTCGAGAATTTTGAAAGATAATGGCGTAATTACACCTCTATTCTGAGCTAAAGGAATGGATAAAAAAAATAATATATTCTACTTTCATTTGATAGACGTAACGTTAGATTTTATTGGATCGGTCGAATAGGTCGCTAGTCGAATAGGTCCAGATTTTTTTTTTTTAGATACTTTCAGAAACCAATGAATTGATTTCTTTGTCGTGTAAAATTAAGAAATTATTTTTTAATTTTAATATTTAAATATATATAAAAGTTACCGATAAAACGCCGAAAATGAAACATAAAGTCAATTTTTTGTTTAAAATGTTGATTTTGTGCATGAAATGTTGACATAAAAATGTAGAAACAAGAATCATTAGTTTAGAATGTTGCGTTCGTGTCTAAAATGTTCAAACTGGAATGTAGAAACAAGAATCATGAATATTGTCCCATTTGGTCTTCCATAGTTTACAAGTTCAGATACATTTTTAGTACATATAAGATTACATAATTTCAAAACACTGGGGTTCGAATAATAATATTTTTTATATATACATTTATATTTCAGAAAGGAGTTTTCGTTGTTTTGTTTTTAATTTTTCACCATTTTATCCTTCTGGTATGAAACAGATTACTAGAAAAAAAAGCTATAGATTAACCAATGACACCAATCGGCCAGAATACTAAATTCTACAGATTAGTAGAAAAAGCTACAGTTTAACCCATGACACAATTAGGCCACCATACTAAATTCTACACAGGTATTTTCTTAGACGTCAAAGCCCATGTAAAGATCGAGTTCTGCCTCGGATTGAAATACCACGTGGAAATTCACCTATATAAGCCAAAAGAATATCATTTGTCTCATTTTTCAAAATGAATTCATTCATTTCAATTTTGAATGACAAAAATGCCCCGTATAAAAAACCGCTAAAATTTTTTAGTTGTTATTAAAAAAGAAATTGAAAAAAAAAAAAAGTATATTGTATTTCCGATGGCAAAGAAATACGACAGCTCTATTCTAACCAGGATCTAAATACTGCTGTTACCTTTTACTCAATTATAAAATTAATGATTCAAACAGTAATGGAACACAATACATAACTGCAGGTAAGAAAGTGATTTAATGTTTAAATTTATCAATTTGGGATACTTTGAAATAAATACACCCATTGTCGATGATAATTTATAAATTAAGAAGCACAATTTGCTGTTGTAGCCAAAATTAATTTTAACTGAAAATAATTGCTTAAATTAGAATAAACAAAGAGCATAGTTTTAAGTCTTGAACAAAAGCGACACCCTTTCTGCAATATTTTCCATTGTAACCACTCCACCCGCCCACCACTCCCATTATCAAAAACTATATCCAATATATAACCCCTCTGTCCACCCCTAAAGGAAACCACATTTGGTGTTTTAATTCCAGCTTTACAATTTCGTAAAATATATATCAATGTGCACGTTCGAGACGGCCCTGGGAACCACGTGGCTAAGTGGTTTACCCTTGTCAGTGATGCAGAACGCGGGACCTGACAAGGACAGCTGTCTAGTCGTTCGGATGGAACGAAAAACCGAGGTCCCGTGTACACATTGGCGTGCATGTAAAAGATCCCTTGGCATTTGGAATTCGATATAAGAGTAGGCCGTAGCGCCGTTGCCCGGGCAAAATTTCCCTCATAGCACATTATATGGCGTATGCCCGTCTTCCATTAGCCCAGGTTAGGTGCAGAAAAGTGGGACATTAAACCCCATTTCATTTTAATTTCATTTCGAGACGACCCTGGCCTGTCCCATCAATTATCATTCAATACGTTTTGGGGTGCCTTGAACCGGACTGTCACAAAGCTTTAAAGTTTTAAAATCGAGTTCACTAGGGTAAAAAATCTCCACCCTTAACAAACCTAACACGCAATCCCATCAATGCATCCCACCCCAAAGGAGACAGCCGCGCCCCTCCCCGAGGGCTTATGAAAATAAACATTGATTAAATTTGAATAAAATATTTCAATTTATTACAGAAATAAAATATTTCAATTTATTACGGATCCAATTGCCAGACCAACCCCAATAAAAATAACGGTAACTAATGAGGTACGAGAAAGAGCCCGAGCGCTAATACATCCCGTGGCCCCAACCAGAACCATTATGGAAGCGAAATCGGTCACAAGCTACTCTACGGTCATCGGCACAGTAATTGAAGTAAGTCATCATCTCCATTCGATGTCTAAATACTATTCAACAGATCTAGATTTCCTACATTTTGCCAATTCAATTATAATTTTAGTTTCCAAAATCTTTTTTTTTTTTGTTTTGTCAAAAGCCATTGTTTCAATCAAATTTGTTCACCCTGGTTAATATGTGACGGTATAATTCGCTAGAAGAAAATTGTCTTGTGGCTGGCTGTACATGACCAGTTAAGCTGTAATAATACCACGTGACTCGTGTTAAATAAACATACACCCCAACAGCTTCTGACACACCATTGTACTATATTTCATTAAGAACAGACTTGATTGACAGGTGATTCAATTGTAATATCACGTGATCTCGTTCATATTCATAATGCCATTATACATTTGTAATTAGAATGGATTTTGGTAATTTTTTATGTTTTTGTGTGTTGATACTTCAATGATAAAAACTTACACCTCAATATTGAATAATATACCAGGTCTATACCATTTTTCTGTAAAGCAATCAAATAACCTGTTTTCTATCGTAGCCTATACTTATAATACAATTATTACATGAAATTATAACATCGCTAGAACAATAGCTTAAAAACCGAAAAGCCTACTGACACAAGTTCGTTTTTTATTTTGTTGATAGAGCACCTACTTGTCGAATTACCATTTCCAGGTTGAGATTTCAATTTGCAGAGGTTAATACAACACAAAATAAAAATAACATTGTCCCGTTGGGCTTCCTTACCCTAATATCGACTAACTTTTAGTTAGTTTGATATTTGCTTTTTACACAATCTATAACCTGTGAACTGTATGATTTTCAGGAACACCAAACTGAGCAGGTTTCTAAAAAAGGAAAAGAAATAAATATCAAAAAAATTAAAATAAGAGATGACACGGATTCCTCGATGATAACCGTTTGGGAACCTAGACCAGAATTGGCTCAACTTCTGAAAGTTGATCATTTTATTAAAATTACCAACTTAAAATTAAATGTATTCAAAGGAAACGTGGAATTTAACACCACATTTAATACCAACATCGAGGTAAGTTAGTATATTCCTTCGCCCAAAGTCAACATTTTTAAGTTCCGGAGGGCCTGACGAGGACAGCTGTCTAGTCGTTCGGATGGGACGAAAAACGAGTACCGTGTACACATTGGCGTGTACGTAAAAGATTCCTTGGCAGTTGGAATTCGATATAAGATTAGGCCGTAGCGCCCGTCTTCCATTATCCCAGGTAAGATGCAGAAGAGTAGGACGTTAAACCCCACTTCATTTCATATTGATTAATATATTAGTTTAATAAATAATATAACATTTGTTATCACAGTCTGATATCCAAATACACATAAAATACCAATGTGACGTTACGCTTTGATGGCGTAGCTATTTCATAATGCTAATCGTCCATTATTTTTTTTTAATTACGTGGTGGCAAATTCATAGTGCATATGTTGTATCCTGTATTTTCTATTGGTAGTGTATGTAAGTGCTCGGAACAAGACTTTGCGTACTATATTGATAGAAAAATCGGGTAGACACAGTATATTGATATGTCTCTCTGGAACACCCCTTAAAAACCCAAATTGATAATACTATGCATTTTATTTTATTTTATTTTTTGTAAATTTAAGATTGTAGAGGGCCAACCGGTCCGGGTGGTCGGACTGCTGGAGGCGTATGATCAGGCGGAGGGGATTATCACCGTGAAATTGCTTGACGGCAAATATAAAGAGTATTCAATGTCATGTAAAACTCCCTCAAAAGATATAAATCAGCTTATAATTAAAGAGAAAACGGTGACCTTGATTATAAAAAACAATAAAGTTCTTGAGTTAAAAGGTATGTTAACCTCCAAATATTTTGCAATAGTACTAACAAATGCATGTTTATAAAGCGTAATTATTCTATAAATAGTTTTTATTATATATATCAAATGCAATTTCAAGACGATTTAAGGCCACTGATCGCCATTTACGTATTTGGGACAGTGTAATTTTTTAAAGATTTAATCCAATAAAAAATCTGTTAGAAATGATTATTTAACTTATTTAGAAAAAGTATATATCAAAAGTAGATAAGCCCATGGTTTGAATTAATTCAGTCAGATATTGGAAATTAACTTCTCAATATTAAACTTTGCAACAATTTAAAATGACATTAATTCAATCTTATTTTTTTTTTTCAGAAGGAAACTGAAATTAAAATTTTAAACCTTCACTTTATATAGTATGTTATGATACTCCTCTTCGGAATAATCAGTTTCCGAAATCTCTACACTACACTACTTTATTATTCCGGTTTGAACTCGTATTTAAGTTGTTGGGGATATAAACTTCCATCCGTTATAAGTGTTATGCCCCATGAACTAAATTCATAATAAACACCGTCCCCAGGGTCCCAAGTGCCACGTGTCTACCTAAGTTAATGTTATGTAGTATTCTCGCTCAAATATCATCGGATTTGGCAAATGCTTTTGCACAGCAGTGGGGCGGTACTACGACACATGCCCTGTCTTGAATGCCACAGGTGAAAAAAGAGAAATGGAGGTTAACGTCCACTCGACACAAACTAGGTCATTTCGGGACTAACACGTGGTTCAATTTTATTTCAATAATTCGCTTGCGCGTAGGGGTCTTTAGCAGTGAGAGGAAACCGGAGCACCCGGAGAAAACCCACGAGGTTTGACAGGCGACCCTATACTTCTTGTCACGTACAGGTGAAAAAAAACTACTAGCTATATTATTCAAGCAAACGAGTAATTTTTAAGCAAACATTAACTTATTTAAACGTTTAAATAAACAGGGTTGTGAAAACGAGATAAAAGACAAAAACCTTAGATTTTTTTTCGCATCTTCGTCCCTGCATTTAATAATTGTCGGATGCTTTTGTTTTGCTCTTAATGTCTGTCGTGAATTCGAAAGTGAAATATAAACAAACAATACCTGAAGTAGGGGAAAATCGGCTATGATTCCTAGAACATTCAATCGATTTTTTTTTAAAGTTAAATTTTTTGATAAATTGTTTTAAAAATGTCCTAAAAAAATCACATTTAAATTGATAACGTTCAATCAATTCCAGCAATATAAGTAACGTGGACTATTCGCGTTTTCACTATTTAGTCAACTGAAGATTTCTTTATTCTAAAACCTAATCATTTTCTACACCTGCAAAAACATGTCCCGTGATTAGACCGTTCGTTAAAACTATCACATTTGATAATCACGAAATGATTCTGAGTGCATATAAGAAAAATGCGATTTTTAACTTTGAAGGCGTGCCAAGCAACTGACCAATCGGAACCACTTATTGTGACGTGCAATATAAGTGGTCTGCAACCAGAATATTGAGCGTGAAATTTGGCTATTACGATTCGCCGTAGTGAAATGAGTCGAGACGCAAACTTTTTAACTTTGAAGACGTGCCAAACCAATTGACCAATCGGAACAATTTATCCTGTCCTAGAGTACCGTGTCTATGAAAACGCTACCAGTTGTATTTATGTGACAAAAGTGGATAGATTCATTACCGTTGCAAGCAGACAGTCACTCCCACAAGAAAAACAGCAGGTATATAGTGAATACATGTAAATTAAAATTACTAAATATACGCTTATTATAATCGTTATTATTTGGGATCGAGAGTGTAAAGACACGGTGCTGTAAAGTAAATTGATTTATGTAAATATCGACAAAAGATCGTTAGCTAAGATTATAGGTGACGCTGCCTTGTTTTGATCATGGGTCGACAGTTAAAAGCCTCTACGTATTATATAGACGAATTATCACATTTTTGAAACTTCTGAATGGAATTGCAGCTCTTTGGACTACATTTTGGAGATTCGGCTTTTACTGGACTGACAGTCTTTTTGAGAGTCAACTTTTACAATATTGAAGTTTCCAGTGAATTAATAATATAATAAATGAGGTTAATAATTTATCCTTCTTTTTCAGGACCTCTCCAAACAATGTAAATAAACTTGAAATAAAAACTTTTCAAAGCTAACAAGAGTGTTCCTAAAAATTTATGCCACACTGTGGGACCGTGCGGTTTGGCGACATTGCAAGATGCAAGGACGGAAAACCGAGGCCCCGTACATATATTGACGTGCATGTAAAATATCCCTTAGCTGTTCGAATTCGTTATAAGACAAGAGTAGGCTATGATTCGGCTGCCCTGGCAAAATTTCCTCATAGCAAAACGTATGCCATTCTTCATTAACCTAGTATAGGAGCAAAACGCTAAACCCCATTTCATCTATTGGCCGTAAAACCGCAAATTTCTGCGAGTTATTGACTGGACAATTTGGTTCCATTACAATTTGGTTCCATTTAAGGAAGCTTTGTATGAGATCCCGAGGGCTTAAAATATGAATTGCCAATGGAGAAACTAGAATGACAGATGGCCGAGAAACTACCTGGTTTCTTCTGTCATTCGGATGTGAACGAAAAACCAAGGTCCCCTATGCAGGATGGCGTGTAGACACGCTTTTGTCCAGGCATAAAGTATCCAATAGTACAATGCATCACGTATGCCCGTTTTTATTATCCCACACTCTGCCGAAAAATAGCATCCTATTCCCCTTTCATTTTGCAACGCAGACCAACGAAGGTAATGAGACACTCCGATGGACTTTAAGGCACTTAGAGAGGGAGGAATGGAAATGGAGTTTTAACGTCGATTAGACACAACTAGCTCATTTCGGGATTAACGTATGGTTTAATTTTATTTCAATAATTCGGTTACGCGTAGGGGTCTTTATCAGAGGGGGAAAACCGAAGGTCCCGAAGAAAACTCACGAGGTTGGACAGTCGACCATATACTCCTTGTCACGCACAACTGGAGAATCGAAACCAAGACAGTTGAGGCTTCTTTCACCCGCACCCAAACCCCTACAACACACCTTTTGCCACAGTCGTCTCGCCATGAAAATTAATAGTAAAATTCCAAAAATCAAAATATTGTCTCCAATTTGTCCAAGTATTAAGTATAAACGAATCGCTCATCGTCTATAAATCCGGCATAGTTAGCCTTGTTGGTAGTGCACAGGGGGACAAAACTCTAACATCCTCTGTTATCATTAACCTGCACGTAAAAGAACCATTGGCAGTTGGAATCCCATGTAAGGGTAGGTCGTAGTGACACTCCTCGGGCAAAGGTGGTTGGAGCGCGCGCGCGGGCTGTATCATACGGCCTGCCACGGAGTCAACTGGCGTGGTTTCGAACCCCCGGTTGAACGTGGCAAGGAGTAGAGTTGCCTGTCCAACCTCGTGGGTTTTCTCCAGATACTCCGGTTTCCTCCAACTGTTAAAGACCCCTACGCGCAAGCGACTTATGAAATAAAATTAAAACCATATGTTAGTCCCAAAATGACCTAGTTTGTATCGAGTGGACGTTAAACTACTACACAGCTTTCCTTGTCAGGCCATCTGTCCTGCATTACTTTGACAAAATCTGGATGAACTTTCTCGTCCAATGCAACTATCCCTACACACGACCTCCAGACTAGCGAGCCAGCGTCTTGTCCACTTAGCCACCGTGATCCACCAAATTTGGTATTTAAAGTAATCACTTGGGTTCAATATTTCACCTGAAAATATAATCAGAGGCATTCACTGGTCCTCTATAAATACATGGGGTTAAACATCCTACTGTTCTGCTCCGATGTCCGTGTACACATTGGCGTGAACGTTAAAGATAACTATGATTTTGCACTGGCAGCGGCACTATGGCCTATTCTTATGTCGAATTTACAACTGCTAAGGGATCTTTTACCTACACGCCAATGTATACACGATGCTTAGGTTCCCCCCTCCCCATCTGAACGACTGCACCTTGTCAGGCCCTCCGGCCTGTACCATGCCGGAAAATCTGGATGAACTTTCTCGGCCAATGCAAGGATCGAATACCCGACCTCCGGTGTCTTAGCCACTTAGCCACCTTGCCCCCCGCCCACCACACACGATTTATATTTACAATTTGGAGCATGTTTAGAGGTCTTTTTCTCGAATAATATCATTAATGTACATGTTATTGACGACAAATCTTTAACATACACGAAACCAGAAAATTGGCAATGTCTCATTGAATATTCAATAAATTTTTCAAACAATTACATTTGAGTAGCTGACATGAACGCGATTCTGAGGTCCCGTGTACAAATTGGTGTGACCGTAAAAGATACCTTGGCATTTGGAATTCTATATAAGAGTAGACTAGCGCCGCTGTACTGGCATGTTTAGATGTCTTTTTCTCAAAAAGGCAATCTAATATTTTTGGGGGAACTTCTTCTATGGAGAACCTAATCAAATTTTTTGTGTATCAAACCTACGTCAAAAGTATCAGGACTAGCCAAAAGATTAGCACTGGACATCGACAAACGTTGTAAATTGTCATAATCGAAATGTTTTGCATACGTATATATAAAGAATATATAGAGAACTATTTTAAAAAGTGGTAAAATATTGAAATAGGGGTGTTTTATTGTTGACCAAAATATGGGATTGGTGCTTCTTGAGTGACAATAATTCATTTTGGTAAATAACAGGTTTTTTTGTCTTTATGACGTATTCACTCGATACTAATGAAAATAAAGCGCCCGCAGCATCTATTTATAAGAAAGTTGTCTCTCAATGTCAGTAATGAAAAATTAATGCTTGGGACTAACATATGGTTTAATTTTATTTCAATAATTTGCTTGCGCATAGGGGACTTTAGACTTTAGCAATGGAAGGAAACTGGAGGACCCGGAGAAACCCCACGAAATTGGACAGGCGACCCTACTTCTTGTGACGTATAATCGGGGATTCGAAACCACGCCAGTTGACTCAATGGCA